CTTATACATGTCCCGTAGGCCAGGCACCCCCATTAACCTGTACTTACAACAAATATACTCGTACTTGACTTTGAACGACACGAGTCAAAATACGAGTCAACTCGTAGCTGGCACCTGTAATAAGATTGTCTACTACGAGTTAACTCGTACTTGGCAGCGAACGTGTTAAATACATTGGTCTGATTTTTATTTTTGAAGACCTGTGAGTTAGTTGGGAATTTTTGTTGTATTTTATTATAATCAGGTCTCACATGAATAGGTTGAGATGGAAATTTTTGTTGAGTGAACGTGTTATTTGGTGTATTAGCATTAAATTTGTTGGAATTATTGTATCTTTGATGTGTATTTTGTTTGAAATGCTGTGGGGGATGTTTTTGTTGAGTTTTAGCTATATTCTGAAAATATTGTGTATTATATTCCTGTGTGACAAACTGTAAAGCTTCGGGAAGGTCTTTGGGACGCATACACCTAATTGTTGTTCCCAATGGTTCCCTCAAGCCTGATAAGAAAGTTTTGAGGGCAAGATCATTGTATAAGTTTCGCGTTAAATTTTTCGCATTTTGATCAACTTCATGACTATTTACATAAGAACAAAGCAGGTTTAAAATATGCATAACCCTGTCATAATACTGACTAGGCTTTTCTGAGTTTTGTTGTCTCAACATTACGAGATCTCTGTGCCTCGTCTCTTTGATATGCGAAATGCCTGCTCAAAGTTAATTTCAAATTATCCCAAGTAGTAACATTTTCTGTACCTAGGATCAATTTTGCGTTCCCAGTTAGTTTTCCGATGATGCAATTTATCAAGTAAGTATTTTGAAAATGGTTTGGTTGATTTGCATCATAGAAATTATCAATTAAACTCTGGCATACTGCCAAATATCTATTCAGATCGTTAGGGTTACCATCGAATTGTGGTACGCAATTCAAGTACTCGGGTTTAAATTGAGCCACATTGTTAATTGTATTTATTTACGACTAATGTATAATGTGCGTATTATATTTGTGATTTTGGCAGTATAATGACATATGTTATTCCTCCATGGATTAATGACGAGTAGCGGGATTAATGGTCATTATTCCACAAAAGTGTCAGTGTCAAACGTGTAGTGCTTGTGGATTTGTATTGAAAATTATGAGACAGATGAAATTTGTTCATTGAAAATCTCAAATAAATTAATTTGTCGTAAATAAAGTAGAGTATACTACTCGCAATAATGGCTATTATTCCCTCGGAATGTTACTCCCTCGCCGCTAACGCGGCTCGGTTCGTAATAATCCTCGGGAATAATAGCTATCATTATTGACTCGTGGTATAATCTACTATAATATTATTTAAAATTAAATTATTTTGATTATTAGTGCTTGTATCAGTAACTGCAGCACTGTTATTTAATGTTTGATTAATATTTCTTATAAACTCTTCTGTATCAGAAGGTGAGTCAGTTGAAGGTAGAGATAGAGATAATAATCTTTCTGTTAATTCATCAATATCAGACATTAAAGAAATTACAAACTGCACATTGCACTTACATGAAGATTATTCCGTAGAGCAACATTTATAAGGCCAAGAATTTCTGGTAGGGTATGTTTATCCTTGCAAATTAATCCTGGTCTCGCGAATATTGGCTATTTTGGTCCAATAATCCGATTGCTTGAAGGCAGTTCTTTGGTTTTCGATTTCGTAAAGCCACTCCGATACTTCTCGCAAACACTTAACACGATTTTCACACAAGGGTGTAGATTCGAGTTCCCGGTTAGTCCGATTTCCGAAAAGTTCGTAAACCAGTTCCAAAAACAAAAAATCCGGACGACTGCGCCAGTTATCAATACGTAGGCCGATAACAAGTTTTAGAAAAAAAAAATAATCCACTAAATTACAATAGAGAAATACTTCGCGTTGCGCGTTACAAAGTTTCAAATAAGAAATATAATTACAATTCAACTGACTAACTATTCTAGGCGGGCAGCGATATTTATAATAAAGAAAAGCGAACTAAGCAGTTTATATGAATGGTCAGCAAATAGAGCTGACATTACTCACCGTTACTGACGTCATCAACGGTGTCGTTAACTGTTTGCGTCAGCGGTCGTAGTTTTGAATATACATTTATGAAGAGAAATAATATTTAATTATCCTTCGCTCATATTCCGAACATTTTGGCTTACATTGTAGTAATATCGTATCATGCGATGACTCACAAGTATAAAGAAATAAAAAAACAAACTTTTTTCAGCAGTACCCGAATTCCAATCCAGGGCTCTCATTATATTGTCTTGCGCGATGGACTTCACATTGCGTGTAATTTTTCGTTGAAAATTATTGTTATATTTTGTTTTAAAAAGCTGTGGATTGGTAATTAATATGCCGAAACGGGTTTCTAGTGATTATGGGGGTGAAGGGAAAGAAAGAAAACGTAGATAATTCCGTAAACTTCAAAGGAAAATGGAATTAATCCAGGAAGAAATAAGGAATTTTTCCTCCGATTCAGAATCTTTATCGGATTATGTAAATAATGATGTGAATGACGCTCCAGGTAGGAATCATTCTTTTTTAGTAATATTTTATTATTTTTTACCCCATCTGTCGATTATTTTGTTTTTCTGTCTCCAATTTTTTAACGCATTCTTTTATGAATGGCCGATTAAATCCTGATGATTTTCTATTGGATTAAAAAAAAAAATATATATATAATAAAGAATAAAAGGCATTCTGTAGAATGGCCACCCGAATCTTAATGATTCTTTATTGCGATTTTGAAAGGCATTTTTATAAATGGCCAATCTTATTACATATTTACAGATGTGGGACTTGTGGGAGATCAACAAAACAAAATTGTGACCATAGCCGATGTTCATGTTTCAAATGATTTTGATTTGGTAATCAATGAGCCCAGGTAACAACAGGGGGGTCATGTAAATGACATAAATTTAGTTGAGGGGCCTAAAAATCTGGCGTCAGCTCCTGAGGAATCCCCAATACTTATATCAGTTTCCCCACCAGAAGAAAATCACGATAATAATGATTTAATAAATTATTTCGGGCACGACCCCTCGGAAAATACAAAATTAGGCAACCCAATGTTGGACGGAATCGCAACTGGATGGTCGCATGTACTAATAAAAGGTTTAGAGATAGATAAAAAACAAAAATTGATTGAACAATATCTTCCCGCCCAAAATTGTACTGCTTTATTAGCCCCTATTTTAAACGAAGAGATTGCAGCCGGCCTAACAGAAAATAAGGTCCGAGAGGATAAATATTTATCTAAAATTCAAACCCAAATGGCTGCTGGTCTAATGGCGTTATATGAACCAATTAACACATTGGTTTCAGAAAAAGCCTCTTCACATGATAAAAATAACGAACTTTTACAAAAACTGGCCGATTCCACAAAAATTTTTACAGATGTTTTTCATCAAATATCTCTCCATAGAAGATTTTTATTAAGTTCCCTTTTAAACCCACAATACAAAAAGTGTTTGGAAAACCAAGAAATTGACAAATATTTATATGGGGAAAATTTATTAGAAAAGGTGAAGCAGTCTCGAGAGGCAACAAGCGTCTCTTCAAAGGTTGGAGGTATTGTAAAACCAAAATACTTCACCCAAAAGAACTATTTAAACTACCGGGGCCAATTCAACAAACCCAAGTTCAAGCAAGACTTCAGACAGGAATTCAAGCCATACAAGTCACAGAAAACAGAGAGAAGAACTTGGCAATCAGAGAGAGGGAAGATGAGAACATTTCAAGGATCAGACAAGACCGACAGGCCATTCAAAAAACAATCAACATGGAGAACAAAGAAGAATTACTAACTGTAGAGGTATGTACCGGTTGTGCTGGAAGACTGCCAATTTTTTATGATAACTGGACTAAAGTTACCCAAAATAAAACTATTTTGAGTTGGGTGGAAGGTTTCAAAATACCTTTTTTGAATTTTCCAGTCCAACACAAAAAGCCCCACGTTTTCATTGCAAAAAAAGACTTAAAATTATATAGTTGTCCAATAAATTAATTAAAGGAAAAAGGGGCAATAGAACAGTGTACCCATATTGACAATGAATTTCTGTCGTCCTATTTTTTAGTTCCAAAATCTGATGGGGGTTTCAGGTTCATCTTAAATCTTAAAAAACTTAATCAATATGTTAATGCCCTCATTTTAAATTAGAGGATTATAGATCTGTTTTGAAACTATTATCTAAAGACAATTTTATGGCAAAAATTGATTTAAAAGATGCCTATTTTGCTATTTCCATTGATACAAACTTTAGAAAATTTTTAAGATTTGAATTCAACGATAAGTTAGGGTCAACTGGGGTATATGTAAACGGTTTTATTAATTTTGTTTACAATTTCCCAAAAAAAATTTTTGTTCCTCTTATTATAGAAGTTGCAATCAATAAATATCAGTAGCGTTTAATTTCATGTATTTGGTTTGGATGTTTAATATAAAAACTCCCGAAAAGACAATATTTCTTTTCTATTTTAGGTCCTTAAAAATAGGTGTGGTGTTTACATTTACCCATAACATTGGGGGTAAATGTAAACATTCCATATCTGTACATCTCATTTTAATGTGGTAACAGAAGGGAAAATGTGAACAAATCGATAATAAGTTTTTTTCATTAGAAGTAGGTATAAATATTTCAAACGATGTTCACAATTACCCCAGAATTAGATGCTTAGATTAACAAGAATATATACCCATGTGTTTTTAAGTCTTTATTGTTAAAAATAAAAGTGAACAAAGATATATAAAATCATATAAACTTAAATTTACTACAGAAAATATAAATACAACACAAACTAAAACTAAAAACACTCTTTAGGCACTTACTTAAAAGCAAAAAAAAAACAAATTCTTTTCAAGTTTTGAATATGACCTTAAACAGAACCTCTATAACTTTTTATACTTTGGTGCAGACTTTGGTATAGACTATTTAAAACATAGTAGATAATAAAATGATTACACCTCATGGAGTAATTAAAAAATATTTTACACTTCAAAAACAGGAATTTTTTTATCGAAATGGTAAAATATGCGGGTTCCCTTATTTTTTATCATGGGCACAGGTAAAAGTCCAGCAATTTGGTCAATTTTAACAAAGCTTTTATCATATTCGATTCTGGAAAAGTCTTGTTTTAGGTCATTCATAGATTTTAAACCTACAACTTGCACCTCATCCGAACCTTCTATGGCTTCTATAGCACAGACGTACCTGAATGATGTGGTGTTACGTTTACCTCCTATGAAATTAACTAAAACAAATGCTTCAATTGCAAGATCTTCTCGTTTAAAACTTTCCAGTTCTAAATAATCTTCTTGATCTTCTTCATTAGTCCGAGTCCTCCGTTAACTTTTCACATTCTAAATCGCTTCCATCATTTGAGGATTCATCCGTTTCTTTTCTCTTGTTTTTTTTCTTTTGCATCGTCTCTTAGCATTTGTCTCACAGTTATCGGGTTTCTTTTGTTTTTTGTCCTTTGATTGTCTCTTTTCTTCAGCTTCCTTCATTCTCTTCATTACATCTGCTGTGGTTAAAACTTCACCATATGCTCTCTGTTTCAATCTAACATTTGAGTTTTTAAACTGTTCACACTTTTTGAGTTGCTCAGGTTTTTGAAAAAAAAGTTCTTCAATTTCAGTAGCACAGGATTGTTTCGAGGTTGAAGGTTGATTTGATATATCTTTTACCTACGAGCGTGCGGTAAAGTGCACGTATTTGCAAATGGAAAGTATCACTTTACCGCACACTATGCGGTAAAGTGCACTTTACCGCATAGTGTGCGGTAAAGTTAACTTTACAGCATAGTATGCGGTAAAGTAGAATACAAAGTGTGGCGTAAAGTGCACTTTACTGCATGGTGTGCGGTAAAGTAGAATTTGATATTTATAATCAAAAATCCTCTCTCCCCATCGAGCTAAAATACATGAAACAAGACTGTATTTGAATTTTAAAGGGACCTGTAAGCACTGTGAGTCCAATTTAACTGGTGTTCTGCCCGTTAAGCCATTAGCACATTCCCTTGTCGTAATCCATTTTCAATATTCAGGCAATTTCGATGATTGTAAAAGTGTAATCAAAAAACAACTCCGAGGGGCACAAAGACGTGAGATCGGAAAAGTGTTATTGTTCATTCGACTTCCAGCTAGCACTTACCGTAAGCGACAAGTTGATGACATAATGATATTGGGTGAGGCTGAACCAAATTTGATACCAAAAAGCAATATTTTGAGAAATTTGAAGTACGAAGAACGAAAACGTAATAGGTTGAGTGAGGATCCAATCGAGTCGGTATACGCTCTGAAATATCAACACCCTTACAATAATTATATTAAATATATCGGCCTTGATCGGTTATTTGTTCACTACTGGAGTACACCCCAAATTCATGTATATAATAACTATGTACAAACAACTACCCATTCAAAAATATCAATTGACGCTACAGGAGAAGTAGTCCGTCGTATTACAAAACCAAGCGGCGAGAAATCCAAAGTGATTTTTTTATATGATATTACTGTCAATGATCGAAAAACTGGAATGCAGTACTCGGCATGCAACATGCTCTCAGAGTGATACGATTCTGACAGTATAATGCACTGGCTGCAATTTTGGAAACGAGACGGAGCAAAGATACCAAACGAAGTCGTTTGTGATATGTCCATTGCACTAACATCTGCTATTATTCGATCATTTACAATTTATTCGTCACTGGGTGTTTACCTAGATGACTGCTATGAGCACCTTTTGAAGAGGCAGTCCTTGAAATTTGAACTTAGCACATATGTTCGTTTTGATGTCGCCCATGGTATAAAATCGATTTGTGAGTGGGAATGTTTGAAAAGTGCACCAAAACAAAGCAGACATTTTTATAAAAGGGTAATTGGTCAGTTAATTCAAACCACTAATATGTCTGATGCACACAAAATTCTTAAAGCAATATGTATTGTTGCACTTAACGAAACTGAAGGTACTTCGGGCAGTACTAACATCGAAACCCCATCTGAAAAGTGTAAAAGTTTTTTACGGAGGGTAATCGGTTACGAAAACATGAATGACCATATTGGCAACGAATATGAGACTGATGATATTATGAATTTTGAAGATCTGTCAAATAACAATTTCTGTGAATGGGGTAGGGCTATAGAGACTGAGACTGAGGCTAGAAATGAAATTGTTAGGGGAAATCGTGATAACTGCCAATTCCTTCCTGCACTGATTCCAAAAATAATATCTCTCCTGAAAACATTTCCTCTATGGTCTTCAGTAATGTCGACTGAACATTTTCCGAATGCACACTCTACTGCTTCTAATGCACCAGTAGAAAGTAATTTCAACAATTTAAAGAACAGGACCTTCGCAGATGAACATTTACCCATCAGAATAGATGAATTTTTAACCAAACATATCTCATCACTTGAAGGTGCTATGAAGATAGCGATGGCGCAACCATCATTTGGTAAGCTGCCTAATATTCCGTAAGCGCTTTCTTTATTCCATTTTATTTGTAGAAACCGTAGAAACCGCAGAAACCGCCAAAGATGAATCTTTGCACAACATTTCCAGTATTCAACAAAGCCCAACGGAAGTTTTATCAGGTATGGTGTGCACCAAAATTGACTTTTCCTTTTTTTTTTAATTTTCAGATCATTTCTCATACCATTTCACTCCCAACTACAGTAAATGTTATACAGTTCAGAGAAGACGGCAAAACGAGATCACGAGTGAAGACATGGTGTTTTGACTATATCATTACCTTAACGTCCGGAGGTCTTTCTGGCTGTTATCAAGCTATGAATGATACAATTTCTTAACAGCTACGAGAATATAATATAAAAAAAATCCAATAATTAATTAAGAACTGTATGTAATATTGTAAATGGTAAGAACTTATATTATTCATAGCTTGATAACGACCAGAGATACGTAACTGGTCAAATGGTAGGTAATAAGGTGATGATATATGGTCCAAACACCATGTCTTCATTTAATCTCACGTTACCTACCTCTTAAATAGATATCGTGAGTCTAACATCAGAACCTATTTGTTAACTGAATTATTGATTATACAGGGTGTCCCAGGGAAAACAGTCCACCCCGATTTATTGGGTTTGGGATGAGAATCTGGGAAAACGCTCGGACATGTCGATGTTTTATTTGAGGGGGAACTATTTTTCAGGTTTTTTCATCCCCGTAGCTTCAACCCCCTAGCTAGGGGGAGAACAACCCCCCAAATTTGAATAGGGAATAGGGGTCGTGTCATATCTCTTTTTAAAGGTCTCATCGAGTTCTTTATGCTCCTAGAATTTCGTCTCATTATTTTCATCCGTAACGAAATGACAGCTTGTCAAAATCTTGGAAATAGACTATTAGTTTTAGTGGGAGCAAAAGCGATACTTACCTCGCCTAATAAAAATATTTGAAATGAAGTTTTTTCTTATTATTATTAATGAGGTGTACACGAGAATTGTAAATTATAGGTATTTTCAATAGTAATATAACTAGTGCAATGGAAATTATAGATAATTTTTGCAAATTTGTCGAAAATTATAAATATATTTCCTTTGCACGAGTTGTATTTAATGAGAGAATTTCATAAATCAAAAATTTAAATTTGCACTAGTGCAAATTATCGCTTAATTACAATCTGATTGGTTCAAATCAACAATCAAAACATTATTGTTGGAATACCAGTTTTGACAGATGTATGAAATTCTCAGTCGTATTTTTATTAAGGGAGGTAAGTACCGCTTTTACTCCTACTAAAACATAGTCCATTTCCAAGATTTTGACAAGCTGTCATTTCGTTACGGATGAAAATAATAAGATGAAATTCTAGGGCCATAAAAAACTCGATGAGACCTTTAAAAAGAGGTATGACACGACCCCTATTCCCTATTCAAATTTGGGGGGTTGTTCTCCCCCTACCTAGGGGGTTGAAGCTACAGGGATGAAAAAAACTGGAAAATAGTTCCCCTTCAAATAAAACATCGACGTGTCCGAGCGTTTTTCCAGATTCTCATCCCAAACCCAATAAATCGGGGTGGACTGTTTTCCCTGGGACACACTGTATAGAGAGCGCATAGTGATTAATGTAGATGCTATATTTTCTTGTTATTTTATAAAGTTGACTGAATATTCTGCATATTTTTCAAAGATTTGTTTCTCACAGCTCCAGCTGACTACGACATCGCTGGTGAAGAAATACGTGCGCAAGAAAACTGGGGTGGACTAGTTATTCCAAGTAAACGAAAACGACGCAGTTACTTGGAAAAAAATAGCGAATGGCTCCACATAGACTTACCTACAACAAAAAGTCAGTGTTGTTCCAATTGGAATTTTGAGGAACGGTAATTGCGTCAAACTGCAACCTGTTAAGTTAGCGAAAAAAACAGTTTTGTTAACAAATACTTGTGCATTTGATTCGCTGATGCAAATCCTATGTACAAGCTTTTGTGACAGTAATCATTTCGCTGCCCTCTTTCAATCTCAGCAACTTCTAGAGCTCACTAAACAAATGATCAAGCTCATAGGACTGAAAGCTTACAAGTTGCGGGCAGAAATCCTCTCTGTGACATTCCCAAACCACAATACGTTACCGAATGTAATGATCCATATTTCAACTAAAACTACTGTAGAAAATTTGATCCGCAAGCTGGCTAATTCCAGAGAACTTTATTATTCTTATGTTGAGAAAATATATTGTTCAAAGTGTTCCAATATTCGAATAATATCCATGGCTATCATTCCATTGGTTATAGAACAAAATATAAGCATTTCTGAGGGTGTAGAGTCATATTTTTGAAAAAGATTTTCCAGCAGCACGTGTTCGCGTAAAGACTGTGGAGGCACTATACAGATGTGAGTATTGAGAAAAACCAAGTTTACATATTTGTGGAAATAACTAGATCCACAACAAATTCTTTGCCCTCAATTCCACTACTTCGTCTATCTGATGTCTCAAAAGAGATATGGATAAACGATGCATTATTTACCTTGGGTGGGGTGGTAGCGTATGTAGGACCGCAACGACCTATAAATATCACTCATATTGGACACTTCAAGGCATACTGTCACAGAATTGGGGAGAAATGGGAGTTGTATGATAGTCTCGCTAACAATAAACAGGACTGCTCAGAAGTCGAGATGGTATATCCCCATTTACTATTTTATAGAGTTTGATAATTATTAATTTGTTAACGTTTGTATGTTTAAACCAAAATATTTTTTACTATTGAAATTTATTTTATTTTTGAATTTGAGTATTGAATTTTTGCATTCTTACAGTTTCGTGTTTTTCCCAAAATATATTTTACTATTGAAGTTTATTTTATTTTTGTATTTGAGTATTGAATTTTTGCGTTCTTACATTCTCGTTTTTTTTTCCTGTTTTCACACAATCTTATTTAAGTACGTATTTGTTTTCATTATGTTTTTATTTTTGTATTTTTGCATTTTTTTGTTTTTTTTTTTCCTATATGTGTACCTATTTTCATATTTTTGTATTTTTGCATTGTGAGATGATAATAAAACGCAATTTGTTTTTTATTTTTTAAACTTATTCCAGAGCTGAGGGTTAAGGCTCCACTACAGGCAAAAAGCTATTTAGTCACAGACCGCGAGACGGAAGTTCAAGAAAAGCTAGACAATTGCGACATGCATTAAAAAGCTTAATAAAATACAAAACTACACTACAATAATTTATTGCAGCGTTAAAACGATTTTTTCTACGAGCGTGCATTTTTATTACTTTCCCGCACGCATCTTAGTTCCGAAAATGTCACTTTCCCGCACTAGTGCGCGATTTTGTTTTTCCCGCACTAGTGCGGGAAAATTCTATTCCCGCACTAGTGCGGGAAAGTGGCTTTCAGAAGAAGTGTCAGTTTTGTCAATTAATCAAACATTTTATCTATTTTGTCTGCCTACATTTTTGCTAGATTTACTATTATGCGCTCATAAACTATTTTTAATATTCCTATTTTCTATTTTAATCCATATTAATCTAATTTGTGAATATTTCAAAAATGTTATAATTTTTTTTGACATTGTTTGACTTTTTGGTTCCTTTGAGGCGGGGCAGTTCTTTTACCTTAGAAATTTTGTTTATTGTAACATGAAATCGATTTAATACATAATTTTTTTCAATCATTCCTTAAAGTAAACGTAAAAATATAAAAATGAGTAATTTTGTAATTAAATTTCTTTAATAATATATCGCTTTGAATTTACTTAGTTTTTGTTTTTATGTTTGAACGCGCTCGTAGAAAAAATAATGTTCCTAACTCATGCGGAAAGTGTCTTTCCCGCACTCGACTGCTTGCCCGAACTCCGCTTCGCGTCGTTCGGGTCAACGGCAGTCGCGTGCGGGAAAGTATCACTTTCCGCACTTGTTAGGAAAATAACTATTTCCTACGAGCGTGCGCAAAGTAGTACTTTTCCGCACGCATTTCGGTTCTCAAAGTTGCACTTTTCCGCACTCAGTGCGGATACAGGCCTTATCCGCACTGAGTGCCGAAAAGTAAAAATAATTGTCAAGCAACAATAAGTACACCTGTCGACTTTGACACATGATGACAAATTTTTCCTCTGTTCCTGTTCCAGCTAACATCTATACCTACAAACACCAAATTTAATTAACTTCAACACATTGTCAGATTTGTTTTCTATATATATGCATCTACAAACTTTCTCATCAAATTTATAGCATTTTCCATTTGTCGAAACAGGGCAAAAAAATGTATCCTTATCCTTACATGTTACATGCTTTTAGAAAAAGATGCGGATGCACTCAGTGCGGCACTGATGACAAATGGAAATCGCCATTAAACGCTTTAAGATGAAGAGCTCTGACGATGATTTTCTGTTATATTTTTTTTTTGTTATGTAATTTTTTGATAAATGCATAGGTTCCCTTCAAGTTAATTAAAAATAATTAAACAAATTATCGTTTTTTTTTAAAATTTTTGTTGTTACCTACCTGATATGAAGCTCGTAGGAAAAATTTTGTTCCTAACACGTGCGCAAAGTGTCTTTTCGCACGCAAACACGTATCCGAACTCCGCTTCGCGTCGTTCGTATAACTGTGTTTGCGTGCGGAAAAGTAACACTTTGCGCACTTGTTAGGAAAATAACTATATTGTCAATATAGTTATTTTCCTAACAAGTGCGCAAAGTGTTACTTTTCCGCACGCAAACACAGTTATACGAACGACGCGAAGCGGAGTTCGGATACGTGTTTGCGTGCGGAAAAGACACTTTGCGCACGTGTTAGGAACAAAATTTTTCCTACGAGCTTCATATCAGGTAGGTAACAACAAAAATTTAAAAAAAAAACGATAATTTGTTTAATTATTTTTAATTAACTTGAAGGGAACCTATGCATTTATCAAAAAATTACATAACAAAAAAAAAATATAACAGAAAATCATCGTCAGAGCTCTTCATCTTAAAGCGTTTAATGGCGATTTCCATTTGTCATCAGTGCCGCACTGAGTGCATCCGCATCTTTTTCTAAAAGCATGTAACATGTAAGGATAAGGATACATTTTTTTGCCCTGTTTCGACAAATGGAAAATGCTATAAATTTGATGAGATAGTTTGTAGATGCATATATATAGAAAACAAATCTGACAATGTGTTGAAGTTAATTAAATTTGGTGTTTGTAGGTATAGATGTTAGCTGGAACAGGAACAGAGGAAAAATTTGTCATCATGTGTCAAAGTCGACAGGTGTACTTATTGTTGCTTGACAATTATTTTTACTTTTCGGCACTCAGTGCGGATAAGGCCTGTATCCGCACTGAGTGCGGAAAAGTGCAACTTTGAGAACCGAAATGCGTGCGGAAAAGTACTACTTTGCGCACGCTCGTAGGAAATAGTTATTTTCCTAACAAGTGCGCAAAGTGTTACTTTTCCGCACGCAAACACAGTTATACGAACGACGCGAAGCGGAGTTCGGATAAGTGTTTGCGTGCGGAAAATACACTTTGCGCACGTGTTAGGAACAACATTTTTCCAACGAGCTTCATATCAGGTAGGTAACAACAAAAATTTTTAAAAAAAAAAAACGATAATTTGTTCAATTATTTTCAATTAAGTTAAAGCGAACCTATTCATTCATCAAAAAATTATATAACAAAAAAAACAAAAAATTGAAATTCTCGTCAGAGCTGTTCATCTTAAGGCGTTTAAATTTGATGCGAAAGAAGTTTGTAGATTCTTGCATGTAAGTGGAGAACACAAATCTGATGTTAAAGATAATTATATTCAGTGTTTGTATAGATGTTGGCTGATATAGAAACATAGGAGAAATTTGTCATCATGTGTCAAAGTCGACAGGTGCACTTATTGTTGCTTGACAATTATTTTTACTTTTCGGCACTCAGTGCGGATAAGGCCCGTATCCGCACTCAGTGCGGAAAAGTATAACTTTGAGAACGGTAATGCGTGCGGAAAAGTACTACTTTGCGCACGCTCGTAGGAAATAGTTATTTTCCTAACAAGTGCGCAAAGTGTTACTTTTCCGCACGCAAACACAGTTATACATCATAAGTGTTTGCGTGCGGAAAAGACACTTTGCGCACGTGTTAGGAACAAAATTTTTCCTACGAGCTTCATATCAAGTAGGTAACAACAAAAATTTAAAAAAAAAAAACGATAATTTGTTCAATTATTTTTAATTAACTTGGAGCGAACCTACGCATTTATCAAACAATTACGTAACAAAAAAAATAATAATAAAAAATCCTCGTCAGAGCTGTTCATCTTAAAGCGTTTAAATTTGATGAGAAAGTTTGTAGATTCTTGCATATAAATAGAGAACAAATCTGACAATGTGTCAAAGTTAATTATATTCGGTGTTCGTATAGATGTAGGCTGCTAAAGAAACAGAGAAAAACTTGTCATCATGTGTCAAAGTCGACAGGTACACTTATTGTTGCTTGACAATTATTTTTACTTTTCGGCACTCAGTGCGGATAAGGCCTGTATCCGCACTGAGTGCGGAAAAGTGTAACTTTGAGTACCGAAATGCGTGCGGAAAAGTACTACTTTGCGCACGCTCGTAGGAAAAATTATTTAATGCAGCGTTTTAACGACGATCTCGAAAGGGAATATGTAGAGATGGGCGATTTTGAAAATAAGTACTATTCTACCTTAGCTATTGCAAAAAAATATTATTACGATCACAAACAGCCTGAACCTGAAGAGTCTGCATTATCCCAATCAAATGCATCTGTCAGAATGGACTCTGTTCAAAATGTAAAGCTTCCAGACATTAATTTGCCTATTTTCGATGGAGCTTTACACAATTGGCTAGAATTCAGGGACATATTTGATTCACTTATAAATAAGAA